TCTGTTGGCTTCTTAGATGACTTGTTTTTTCAAAATGAGGTAGTGAATATTTCCAGCTTTCACTTAGCATGACCTGAGAATATGTTTAATAAAAATGTAAATTAGAAGATCAATGAGAACTAACTTGATACTCATTGGATGTCAATTGTCTTAAACTTGCTTCCATACACTGAAACATCTAGATACGCAGTTTTACAAATAATTTTAATATATTTATTGTTATTTAAGTATGTGAATCACCTTATTAGTGATAGCATTGCTTTTCCTTTCATTTTTAATGGGATTTTTAAAAGAAAAATAAAGCTCTGAGACAGTCATTTCATTATTGTGTTATAATAAGTATGGAATGTGGGATTCTTCTAGGTATGACTAGGTTGATAGAATAAAAAGCAGTAATCAATACTGCCTGAACAATCTTCCACACAGATCTAGAGAAAACTTTCCCAATTCGCTAGAACATTAAACAAGCTCATCTTAGCTTTAATTTCAATATATCAGGGTTCCCAGAGAAATATCCAATAGGAGATAAATATATAAATATATCACATATGTATGTATGTGTGTGTGAGTGTGTGTATTCACCTGGAGCAATTCCTGTTAAATATATACATAAAAGGAATCGGTTCAGGTGATAATGGATGTTGGAAAGTTCTAAATCAGGATAGCCCACCAGGCTGGAGACCCAGGAAAGAAAATGGCCCAGATCTAGTCTGACAGCACTTTTGTTGTAACCAGGAAGAGCCACTGTTGCAGGTGAAGTCTGACAGCAATCTGCTACAGAATTTCCTCTTGCTCAAAGGAAGCTGCTCTTTGTTCTATTCAGGTCTTTAACTGATTAGACAAGGCTCACCCATATCAGGGAGGTCAAACAACTTACTCAAAGTTCACCAATTTAGATGTTTGTTGTAAGGGGTCAGGAACCGACACGGTGCAGGTTTTCTGATCCCATGCAGACCGGGTAAAGGAGGAGTCAGAGCCCTCAGGGGTTTTGCAGGTCTTTTATTGGGGTTCACCAGGCATATGGCAGGCAGGGGTGCTGGGGAGCCGGGAGGCTGGCAGGCCTCCCAGCCCCCAGCAAATCTTCACTCTCTCTGGGCTCTCTGGCGTTCTCTGCTTCTGCTTCTTTGCTTCTCTCTTGGCTTCTCTTGGCGTCCCCGTGACGCCGCCCTTAAAAGCACAGTCTTAGCCCAGGTGTACCCACTCCAGGTGCCCGCCATCAGGCATGCATTCAGGATCACAGGGTTCCCTCATCTATCCTGATGGTGGGAGGGCAGAAAAGCCTGATATTTTTCCTTATCCTACATTTGTCTTATCCAAAACACCCTCAGAGAAGCACCTAGAATGTTTGATTTTATCTAGGTACCTGTGGTCCAGTCAAGTTGATACATAAAATTAATCATCATTCAGGATTCCTTTAATCATAAAAATAAAACCCTACTCAATGCCAAAATCTGTGCTAGATCAGCTGTGTTCCATGGAATCCTCACATCAACATTCCAAGGTGGATTTATTATCTTGTTTTATAGATGAACAAATAGAAGATCAAAGAGTCACTTACAAATTTAACCACATACCGAAGAATTGGCTGAGCTTTGATTTAGAGCCAGAAATATAGCTTTCCAAAGTCCATGGAGCTGTTTCCTGACAGGTAGGCTGCTGTTGCTCTCCTTATTCATAGCCCATATATCTTGGGTCTCAATCCCTTGGTCAGACGCTTGGACCAAGATCCCTGGCCCCTGTGATTCCGTCTATGGACTGGCCAACCTGGCAGTGAATGGGCAGGTGGGGCAGACTTCTGGAAAAATCCTGCCCTTTACCCAGCACAGGAAAGAATAATGATTTTAGATCAAGTTAATTCTCTTCACACAAAGAATTGCTCAAAATAAATTCAAGCGTCTCAATTCTCAGGGTTTTCATTGCTGTTATGGGGTATTTGCTGTTTTTATTTATTTTTGATCCAGTTACACTAAAAATCTATTGTTTGAGGCTCTGCATTAAACTCGGGGATCCAAATTATCTTTGGATCACTTGTTATCTATAAATGCTTATAATTTGTATTTGTTGGAATGGAAAATCCAGCCTTTGCAGCTAAAAACAGCAACAAACAAATTTAAAAAAAGGAACAAGTCCTTAACCATCACCACGTTGGTTAAAATGATCAAGTGCCACACAAACTCCCCCTGGCACTAGAATGAAAAGTTCATATCTCATCATTCAAAGCTTAGCATGGGTCACTGATGGCTGTTCTCAGTCTGGAGAAAGGAGAATCCAGGCTCCCTGCTGCTTGAATACAAGCAACTCCCCTATGATTTCTATAGTGGCAGAATAAGGCCCCAAAAGATGTCCACACCCAAACTCCCTGGTGCTGTACCTATTTACCTTGGCAGCAAAATGGACTGGGTCGATGTGATTAAGGTATAGACTTTAGGATGAGAATTATCCTGGATTTTCTGGGTGGCCCTAATGTAATCAGATGAATCCTTAAAGTTAGAGAACATAACCAGCGGAATCAGAGAAAGCTGTGACTAGAGAGGGGTCAGAGAGTTGTGTTGAGAGAACTCACCTGCCATTACCAGCTTTGCAGGTGAGGAGGGGCCCGGGAACTAAGGAATGTGGCAGCCTCTAGACCTTGTAAGACTCAAGGAAACATCTCTCCCTAGGGCCTTCAGAGAGAAACCCTTCTAACACCTTGATTTTAGCTCAACGAGATCCTTGTTGGACTTCTGATCTCCAGAACTGTCAGATAACACATGCATTGTTTAAGACACCAAGTTCAGCTCATTTGTGAGAGCTGTCACAGAAAGGTAATACCCCTTCTGAATGTCTGTGGCAGAGAAATTAGGAATTGCAGAGGCACACAGAATTTTCAGTGTCCCAGCACATAAGGATTCACATTCCCTTTTGCCAGACCTTGAAGAACTCAGCTGCTTCAAGTGAGGGTGGAACTCCTGAGAAACACCAAGATGCCACAGATGTTTGGTGAGCACCAATGGTCTGTGACAAAAGTACCTGACACTGTTTTGGCTACACAGTGGACACACATTATTACTGAAAAAGAGTCAACCACTGCACAATGAACTGGATCTCAACAGTCTTAGTGTATAGTTTTCTGGATTAGAAATAGCACACACAGCAGGTGGGGCCTTCTCCTAGGGGTTGCATTCTTCTTTTCTTCCTTCTCAGGTCCAGACTGACGACAAGAGGAATATAGGTGCATCTTTTTCAAACAATGTTTTCTTCCCCAAAATATTTTCCACCCTCCAAAACCAAGTTTAAGCTATCCATGAGACAAACACTATAATTTAGGTAAATGATGATTCTAGAATGAGACTTTTGGAAGCATAGATGTTTCTGGTTTAGAACAAGCCTGAAAGAGAGCTAATAATTGGTAGGACAATTGAATTTCCTTGAAAATTGACTTTGCATTAAGTAAAATGGGAAAATGAGAATGCAATTGCCTTAATGGGTTAGACTAAAGAAGTCCATTTGAAAGCTTCAGGGGAAGGCATGAGGACCTGCTTTGGAAAAATGGCTTCCAGCATCAGGACTTGCTTTATTAATACTTACAAGTAACTCATGTATTCTTTGGTCTGCCATAACTATGGGTTATAGATCTAGACACACAGAAATAAATCTATAGGTTGCTACTACTCATTTAAAAAAAAAATGAGTGATGAAAGAATTTTATTTAGTAACATGTTAAAATTAAGTTTTTCTCATGTTCTGAATTAGTAGCTTGGGTATTTTCTACTTTATAGTTTCAATGCTTTATGATACCATTCAATATTTTACTTCACTTAACTTTCTCAATTTTTTTGTGTCTATGTGAGATGTTGGTCAATGTAATATCTGATTTGTGTTTATTTCATAGAATCTGTTCCTGCTATACTTTGAAATATTGATTTGCTCATCACTCCAAATTTAAAATCTTTAATGTACCAGTTTGTCTCCAATACTTAAACATGTCCCGGGATATTTGCTAAAGATGAAAGTAAGATCCTGTTGTTAAGTGAAATTTAGTAACGGTTTCAGATTTTTTGGAACCCAAAGCTTAATTGCAAAGGGCATCATTATTATTTCATAGTCTGGGCTGGAGAAAGGTCTTGCCAACATCAGAATGGCCTGAGAATGGAGGATTCCATCCTTTGAGCCACATTTAAAACTCCATGTTCAAGTTCATTTATTCTTGGCAAAAGTCAACTTCCTGTTTTTAACAAAAATGCAATTGAGAGACTCAGAAGTCTTATGAATATCAAGTAACTCGCTGCAAAATAGCATTTTGCTGAGTAAAGTGAAAATGAATCATAAATGCATGTTTTTTTGGGATACACAAAAATAACAATCTAAGGGAAGAAATATTTTTTGAAAAGCTGTGGGAGTTTAAATATTAAGAAATTAGCTTGATGAGGACAACCATTCTTCTTTTAACATCTGATTTTGGTTGAAATCATATTTTGCTTGTTTTGGTCTTCAAATTAATGATATCCCCGAGTTTCGAATGTTTAATAACTGTGCTATAGGGTGGAGACCTAAAAGGAAATCAGGTTCTATAAAAAGTAACCATTATTCACATTGTCAACACAAACTCCATGTGGATAGTATGAGAGTTTTGGCTACAATTAAATATATTCCCATTGCTGCATTTTTCCACTCAGAAGGGGAATTACATTAAGTACCCAGGGCATACTATTTATACTGGCAAGAGTAAATCTATTTACCTATTCAAAATGCTGTTGGTAACAGGCATACTGTAGCACTGAAAACATGCGTACTACTTCCTTCCTTCATGTATCTATCCCATCAATCCACAAAAGCATATGGGGACTCACTAAAGGTCATGCTATGGGGGTGAACCATCTCAAAACTGGAGGAGACCATGCCCACCTTCCTGTGGGACTATATGCCTCTTGTGTAAAAATGCCTCCTGCCACTACATTGCAAATTCCTCTGGCTCATCACTAGGTGATGACACTTATCTGTTCATTCCACTGAATACTCACCTGCTGGACGGGTGAAGCAGTGGACGGTGAAGACCTCTCTCCATGTGGTGATGAGATGCCAGTTGTGAAGGCTGGCTGGTCATGGTCAAGTTCTCAAGGTCATGGAAGTCAGAACATCTGTGGCCAAATCTTCTAGTCCTATTTCAACATTGCAAACAGTGTTGGGAGACTGATCAGAAATGAGGCATGTCTTGGCTGTCGGGTTAATGTTTGCAGGGGATTTAATTCCACTTAAACACTGTTTTCTTTCCTTCGCTCTAACCCTCCAGTTGCTCATATTTTCATTCTTTCTTCCATTGGACTTGGACCCCATTTGATAGAGGAGTCTTGGCTTTTCAGTCTAGTTCTCTTTTCCAATGTTAGCCAGGAGGTAGAGGCATTATTTACTCCTTTTTTTTTTTTTGGTAAAGATAAAATAAATAAACAAAAGAGCAACTCTTATTTTCTTTTTCGCTTGTCAATTAAATGGATGCTAATGTAGGAAAAGCTATGGGAAATTTCTCTGCAGATGATAGTTTTTTTCTTACATCCTGATTCTACTTTCTGCGTAGACATGGAGATTAAGAAAACAAACAGCATAAATTCTGAGAAAATTGGGGAAGGATGTCCTCTTAGACCCTCCTTGGGTGGCTGTCACCAAGGATTTCATGGCAAGAAGACACCCTTCCTTACAGTCCCAAGTTACAGGAACAACCGAACCAGCAAAAATTGGGTTCCGTGCATGATTGTGTGGGTACTTTAGAATAATTAACTAAAAGACTTGAATGACAAGCTCTGTTTTTTTTTTTTTTCACTTCCGTAGATTACCTGAGGAATAAATAGTCAGCAAATTTTATCTCCAGAGACTATAACACATAGACATTCTGACTGTCTGATTTAGAGAGGCCCAGGGAAAAAATTGAATGTGACGAGGAATGTTCTAAATGTGTATTTTTACTGCTTTTAGCTCAAACCAAGACACTCATTGGAATTTGATATAACTTGACCACTGTTTTCAAAATTACTTATGATTATTATTATTTGCATAAGAATAAACTATTTGACAACTGGGACAGCAGCTCGTTTGCAACCACAGTGTCCTTATTTTCCTCCCAGTTGCAACCATGGAAGATATTTGAGTTTAAAAATACCAGTGGGCTTTGGCACGCATGCTTTGGTTGGTGAAGCAACACCCCAGCTGCTCCTGTCCAGCAATTTGCTGCTGTTTTCAGGCATTGTACTTAAAGTTTGGGGCTTTCAGTACCACATCCCTTCTTAACTTGGATGACAGCTCCCAGAGGCTCTCACGGGCTAAGGGACCCCCAGAGGTAACCTTGTTTGAGCAACATTACCCCAAGGGAAAGGGCAGTTTTGAGAGAACTTTCACAGGGTGATGACTGCTCTTCGGGTGTCAGTTGAAGATCAATATGGGGTACTTATGGGGGAAAGAAATAAAATCACTTCTATGTGTGTGTGGCACCTAAGACTAAGGCAAAATTAAGAAGAACATGAGTTTTTATTTGGAAATGCGTGTGTGCATGTGTGTGTGTGTGTGCACAGTGCACGTATGTTTAACACCAAGGAGTACAACTGTCAGTCACTGCCATCTGGAAGAGTTCAAGTTAGAGTAGTAAAGAATGAGTGAATAAGTGCAGAGAAATTTATTGTTCTATCTCCACTATCCCTTGTTACACAATAAATCATACCAAAACCGAGTGTCCTGAAACAACAGTGTTTAGTATTGCAGAGTTTCTGTAGGTGAGGAACCTGGGGCAGCTGGGTTGGGTGCCTCTGGCTCAGGTGCTCCCACAAGGCTGCGAGCAATGTGTGAGCCAGGGTGGCTGTGGTCATTTGAAGTTTGACCCTGGGAGGAGCCTCTTGTAAGCTCACTCCCTTGGTTGGTGGCAGGGGGCCCTCCATCCCTTCTCCCTCTGGAAGCTCACAAGATGGCAGCCCCTGCCATGGAAACCAGCAAGAGAGGGAGCACTGGTGGAAGCCCCAGGCTGCGGTGCCCTCATCTTAGAGCAAGCTGCCCTCTCTTGGGCTACACTCCACTCACTGGGGACCTTCCCTGGTCAAGAGCAGGAGGTGGATACCAGCAAGCCAGGGTCACTGAGAGCTTTTCGGAACGTGTCTTCACATGTCCAATAAAAATAAAATACAGATAACATTACCCGTAAGGTTGATAGGTGTTTTCTCTTACATTCATGGCCATTTAACTAAAAACCATGAGAGAGAACAAGTGTGAGCGGGCACTGACTTTGTGGCAGAGCCTGCAGCAGACACTTAGATGATAATTGGTCTCTGTGATGCCAGGAAGGCCTGGGTCCTTATTGCTGCCATTTTCAAATCAGGAAAGTGAGGCTCATAGAAACAGATTTTGGATGTAGGCTTTTGTGGCTTGGTAAGGGACCTTACTGGGTCTCCTGGTTACAACCCAGAATATCTCTTCAGAAAGAAGTTTATTTGACAAGGTGGCCACCAAGGGAGGTGGCAGAGCTAATACTCTAAAATAAGTCAACTCCACAGGCAGGCTGTGACTATGTGGATGGGGGAGGTGGAGGGAGCCAGGGCTTTGCATTCCCAGGTTGAGTTGGCTCCTGAGTACAGTGTTTATCTCCTTCAAGAGAGAGTGTTCCTTTGGGGTTCACAGCCCATAAAGACCTCGTGTTATCAACCTCAGGAGGGCACAGAGAATTTGGTTAGTAATGTAACCCAATTAGTTCTCCAGGTTTCCGGGAATGCAGTTGGGGAAGGGAGTGAGAGGAAGGGAGAATAGAGTGTTTCATATTTAATTCTGCTTTGCTTAACTGTTCTAGCAAAAAGTTCAAGCTACAGGTTGGGGGTGACTCCAGCTACAGCTTGACACTATATTCCTACAAATGTACACTGAAAACAAAACCACATGGATTTTTCATTATATATTGTTTATTGGTTTCCATTCAGTGTGACCAAAGTGAGTGTTAAAAAGAACATATCTCCTATTTTTTTCCAATTGTTAATATATGTTGACTTTAAGAAATTAGAAGTTGTAGAAAATTAGCGATGAGGAAATACAGGAGATACATACTGTGTTGTATCGGTTCAATATGTCAGAACAAGTCTTGGCCAGAAGCAGTAAGACAACAAAGTCAATCTCCATGGTTACAGAATCCCGGGATATGGGAAGGCAACAGAGCTAAAAGACTCAAGGGACTAATCCAGTTATGTTGACTGTAGAAGATTCCATTGAACTCACTTTTGGGTAGCATGGGAAGTGGTGTGGATGAAGAGACATCAAGAGGAAGACCAGTGGCTAGAAGTTAAACACTCATTACTTACAATTCAAATGTTTCTACACCTATTTATGGAAAGCATATTATTAGAAGTTGGTGGCAGCAAAGTACGCAACCATGATCAGTTGTGTAGCTAGAAATCTTAAGGTCGACATGTTATAGACATGATTGATGGACATGGGCGGAGGAATCAGAGACCTGAAATTATAGGTACCTGGAGGCCATTTTATATCTGATGCTAGTTTGACAATATTAATAAAACCAACATCTATTGAGCATCTAAAAATGTGTCAGATGCTGTGCAAATACTTGACAATCACCAGTTCATCAAATCCTCAGGAAAAAACCCCACGTGGGAAGTGCTATTATCAGTGTGATCTGATAATAGGTGGAGGTTCTGAGGGTTAAAGGGTGACCCAGTTGTGTGAGAACCTTGCTGGTCATTAGTCTTAGCCTGCACGTCACCAGCCATCACCCATGTGAGACCCATTTCTCTTAGTCCCTGGAACTAGAGTGCAGGATCACTAGTAGTTTTAGTTTGGTAGAAACTGCATTTTTTTCTGGGGTTGCTGAACCATGATACTAGCTGAATATCCTGGTACCACAAAGTACCTTTAACAGGGTGAATGAAAGCAACAGAAATTTATTCTCTACCAGTTCTGGCTTCACTCCCACCTCTGCCTCCGTGCTCACAGGGGGGCCTGTGATGCCGAAGCGCCCTCTTCTCATGAGAAGAACCACCGCTGGGTGAGGGCTGGCCCACATGCCCACCTCCTCCTCTGCACTGCTGCATTTGGAGAACTCCTGGAGAGTGGGTCTGTTTTCCTTTCCATGAGTCTCAAAAGCCATTGGAGCTAAACGCTGGATCATCAGGAACTTGGGGACTGTTAGCAGAATTGAAGACAAACCTGAATCTGGACAATTGGCCTTGAGCAAACAAAAAGCCCATCTGTGCCTGGAGAGGCTCCTGTAGAACAGGAGGAGCACAGGATGTCTGATGCTAGTTTGACAACTTTAATAAAACCAGGAGCTGGAATGTGGGGAAAAGCATCCTACCTGTTTGTATGGTCTTGGGATCATCAAAGGTAAAGGTCATGCTTCTCCTACACACTCGTTCCAGGGTCTCTCTAAAAGATGTGCCTGGCAGGACCTTGACTAGCAACTGGCGGGCCCATACTTACAGCCAGCAAAGTTCTTTAATTGCTGGAATCACTTGATAAAAATGACAGCAACCCAACTCCTCGTGTTGTTTATGCTCAACCAGACAAGTCAAGCCACTGAGCATGGACAGTGTGGGCTTGGAGATAGTGCCGGGACCTGATGAGGGCCGTTCTCTTCTGAAGCTTTCCTGCTGTTGGGGCTCCAGTTCTCTTTAAACTGCTCAGTGAAGGAGAGAGGCCCCTACCACATAAGAATGGCTGAGAACTTGAGCTTTTGTCAGAACAGACCTTCAGACTGCCACTTCTTAGCTTTGGACCACTGTGATATTAAAGTTGCTGTGCTTCCTGATCTTCTAGAAAATGGAATTAACAGTACTACCTTGTTAGAGTTGACGTGGAGAATTCAAGACACAATCTAGGTAATACACTGAAGACCACATCTGACATACAGAGGTATTTTTCAAGTATTAGTTATACTTATTAGCCTCAACAATAAATGGCAGTCTGCTGGGGGTACTGAAAGCATTTCATCGCAGCCCCTCTCTCTCAGGCAAGAAACCCCACTCTGAAGCCTGGACTTCACACCACTTACATGTGGTTTATTTGGGTGTTTGCTTTCCCTGGATGAATCTTGGTGGCGCTAAAGGAGAAGGCCAGTGGGAATTTTCAGATGTGTCACTCAAAGGCACAAAGCGCCATCACTTCCTTGTCTTGACAATCACCTTCACCTCCTGCCAAAACATAAGTGAGAAAAAGCACTTTGGATTTGGTCGGGGGCAGCTCACTCTTCACTGCAGCTGACTTGCCTTTGCACATTAGCCCTGATAAGGAGATACAAATATAATGAGGTACCGGGATGGGAGATAACGAAAGACAATGGCACCCAAGTTCAAAACAAAATTAGATGCCAGGAGCAGGCACCGGGGCTGGGGGCCATATCTGGCAGCATGACAGTAAAGACAGAAAATCAAAGAAAACAGAGCCCCAGCCGTTGACCACACAGTAATTGGACACAAGGAAACTTACCACTGGCACCTGGCCCCGCAGGTAATTACCCTTCTCTCAGGAGCATAATAGCCCCATTGTTTGCCGCGGAGTGGTGCAGAAGCGTGAGCCGAAGGGAACGGAGTCAGACCAGGAGCATGAAAAGAAGGCAAGGTGTGGCCTTTGATGTGCTTCCAGGTCCGGCTGGGGACCTGGGCTGTGAGAAATAAGCATGTCAGCGATCTTTGTCTTTTCACCTGTGAAGACACTTCTAGCGTTGCAAATCCGTGCCTTTATCTGCACAGGCCGTTCAATCAGGCGGCACAGCTGTCATCCGAGGAGGCTCGAAACCACAACTCGGGGCTGAGATAATTCAGGTAGGCCCTGCGGTCGTGGGGTGTTTCTTACCAAGGCTTATCAGATGTTTTCCAGACATGTTCTTTTGGCGCAGGTGAAACAATACTGAAGTTCAAGAACATTTTTTGGTGCAGAGGATGCCAAAGGCGCACTGCTTAAAGACCTGAGTTGCAACAAATAACGACTTTCTTTCACACATCCCTTCTGCAACCTTACAGTCAGCCTCCCAGGGACGGCAGTGCCGAAGATGCCCGCAAGGTGGACTTGAAGGTCAAATACCTAGAGCTGAACGGAGTCATGTCCATAGCATGTGATGACGGGGTAGCAAGCTGCATGCCATAAAGTGTGGAGAAGCTCTTCAGGAATTTGGAGATTTTCTTGGTGGATGGAGTTGGGCAAAGATAGGATAAAATGAAAGAGGTTTCCTTAGAAAGGGATCTTGAAGGGACGAGTTTTGAGATTCTGACTGAGGTCAATGTCATTCATGATAAAGGCAAACAGTTAGATTTGTTTTTCCTTATGTGACAATTCAAGTTTATTACATGTATTACAATGGTACATTCTAAAGTTTGAGTGTCCAATTCAGAAAGTTTTCATATCCTGGGGACAGGAAAAGATTTGTTTTAACTTATTCATTTTGGCCCAACGGTTTACAGATAAAAAAAAATTAACATTTAAAATTAAAAGTTTTAAGATGATTACTTAATTACTATGCATTAATCTCCTAGGTGCCAAGCACTGCATTAGGTATGAGAGATGGACAGATTATTGTGTAAATATGGAAGAAAGTGTTAAGGAATTAGTATGTTGGTGTTAATTTTGATGCTCTAAAATAAGGCAGAGGAGAGAAAATTTTAATTTGCAATAGAAATTTGCAAGGTCATAGGTTTCTTCATTTCCAAGGTGCTTTTGAGTTCTTTGTTATACATGTTATACTTTGTGTTCTCTGCCTTAAATATAATTCTAAATTCATTTTCTAACGAAACACCATCTACTTTCTGGCAGATTTCTTTCTGTGTCAATTAAGTAAAAACCAGGATATCCAGTCCAGGGCACAGGAAGTCATATTACTTTTGTTTTCATTGTTTTGTGTTCACATACAATTAGGTTCACCAGATATCAGTGCGCTGAATGCAGGTCTCTTTAAAGTCATTATAATATAACTTTACAATCGATTCTGTAATTTGAATGCAAGCTTTTATGTTCAAACACTGTGTATTAAATACCCCAATCTGGTCTCTTCACTTTCAACCACTTTCTCTGAACAGGTGGGAGAGAATAAAGTCTAAATGGTTTCATTTTGGTCATCAGTTGGTTACACAAAGAGATAAAATGAGTAACACCTGGTGAATATGATGGTCTAGCACATCCTCACCTAACATTGTCTGCTCTTGGACACTGAGACTTTAATCATAACTGTCTATAAGGAAACCAGTGTGACAAAGGAAACTAGTCTAACACTTACCTCATTGCAATGAATAAGTTATGTTCTTACAGAATATTTCTGGTCACAAAACATCACCAGATTTCTAAAGACCCCAAACGCTTCTAATATGAAACAGTTATTTTATTTGCTCACTCATTTTCTAATCACCTTATTCAAGTTCGTGGTCACAAGTGGCCTCAGCCTCTCCAGGAAGGTGAGGGTCAAGGTGGGACCCATGCTGGATGGGATGCCCTTCCATCTGAGGTTGCATCACACACATACACATTCACACACTTGCACTAAACTCACTCATTGTGACTGGGACAAAGAGACACGCTAGTGAACCCCCACATGCACTTCTTGGGGTGTGAGGGGAACCAGAAAACCCACCAGATGGGGAGAACATGCCAGCTTTATCTAGACTGTGATCTTGGCTGTGTTCATTTGTTTATCCCAGGTAGTGACATTGTCATACCCTAGTTATCCGCAATGAGTCTAACTGAAGAACTATGGCATAAACTTGATAGAAGGCAAAATTAAATGTCCATCATTTTTATTGAGATGTAGTTGGTATTTAGCATTGTTTTAATTTCAAATGATTTGGCATATGCATAGAAGGTGAAATGATCACCAGGAGAAGTTTAGTTCATATCTATCACCACACATAGTTAAAAGCTTTTCTTGCAATGAAAACTTTAATATTTCCTCTTAGCAACTTTCAAATATCCAGGATAGTATTGTTAACTACAGTTTATCATGCTTTACATTACATCTGTAGCTTAAAAGTCTACATCTGTAGCTAAAAGTCACCTCAGTCATTTCACCCACCCCATAAACCCTGCCTCTGTTAACCACCAAACTGTTCTCTGCATCTAAGAGTTTGGATTTTTGGTTTTTGTTTTGTTTCTGTAGATTCCAT